CCTGGTGCGACCAGACCTGCATGGAGGAGGGCTACGACTGCGACGGCGACGAGTCCTGCGACTACAACTGCCCGACGTGTACCGGCTGCGAGGCGTGCGCCGCGGGCGAGTATAGCGGAGCGGGGGCGACGTACTGTTTCTACTGCCCCGCGGGCTCGATCTCGTCAGCGGGCTCGAACTGCTACGACTGCCCCGCGGGCTACTACTCGCCGGTGGACGGCAGCGCGTCGTGCTCCGCGTGCGGCGCCGGCACGTACAACAACGGCGCGGGCTACGCCTACTGCAGCAACTGCCCCGCGGGCTCCTACTCTTCCGCGGCCGCGACGATCTGCGCCGCCTGCCCCTTCGGCACCTACCAGGACTCCGCCGGGCAGGCGTCCTGCCTCTCCTGCGCCGCGGGCAAATACTCCGCGGCGTTCGGGGCGTTCTTCTGCTCGACGTGCGCCGCCGGGGCCTACTCCGCCGCGGGCGCGGCCTCCTGCACGGCGTGCCCGGCGGGCACCTACTCGTCCTTGAGCTCCGCGACGTGCGCGGACTGCCCGGCGGGCTCGTACGGGTCGACTACGGGCGCGGCGTCGTGCGACCCGTGCGCCGTCGGCACGTACGCCGCCGCCGCGGGCGCGACGTCGTGCGTCGCGTGCCCCGCGGGGTCCTACGCGGACGCCGCCGGCGCGTCGGAGTGCGCGCTCTGCCCCGCGGGCACGTACTCGTCCACCGCCGCGTCGACGTGCGCCAACTGCCCCGCCGGCACGTACTCGGAGACCGCCGGACTCACGGCCGGCGACGACTGCGCGCTCTGCCCCGCGGGGCGAGCCGCGAGCACCGAGGGCCGGACGTCGTGCGAGGACTGCCTGCCGAGCACGTACTCGCACGCCGGCGCGTCGGAATGCGCGGACTGCCCCGCGGGCACCTACAGCGAGAACTTCGGCAGCGGCGAGTGCGAGACGAAGATGCCGACGCCGGAGCCGACGGAGCCGCCGACGCCCGCTCCCACGCCGTCGCCGTCGCCCTGGCCGACGCCCGTCCCGGGGGACCCCAGCGGGATCCCGTTCGCGTGTGCCCGCGTTGCTTTGTTTTCTTTTTGAGTGATCGTGATTTCATCTCCCCGCGCAGCCCTTGCCGACGCCCTACCCGACGACGTCGAATCCGTCGTTCGCGCCGTCGTCGTCGCCGTCGTCGTCGCCGAGCGCGACGCCCTCCGCCGCGCCGTCGTCGTCTCCGAGCGCGACGCCCTCTGCGTCACCGTCGTCGTCTCCGAGCTCGTCGCCGTCGGCTTCTCCGAGCTCGGCGCCCTCCGGCGCGCCGTCGTCATCTCCGAGCGCGAATCCGTCCGCGTCGCCGTCGTCTTCTCCGTCCGCGTCTCCGTCGTCCTCTCCGAGCGCGACGCCGAGCGCGTCTCCGTCAACGTTCCCCACGTCCACGCCGACGTCGCGCCCAACCGTCGAGCCCGGCGAACCCACGGCGGCCCCGATGCCGCGGCCGACGCCCGCGCCGTCGTCGACGCCAGCGTCCTGCGGCCGGGACGATTTTCGAGAGATTTTGACCGTGAAAACGAAGGGAAATCGTCACCCACACCTCTGGCAGGTCGACGCCGACCGCGGCGCCCTCAATGGCCCCGACGGAGACGAACTACTTCGGCTGCGACGAGGCGACGTGGACGCCGCACTCCGACGCGGTGTCCTTCGGAAACTGCGTCGTCTTCGCGGCGTCCGCGGCGGGCGCGAATCTCGCCGCGGGCGTCACGTCCGCGGGCGTCGTCTTCGACGTCGGCACGAAGGGGCGCCTCGACATCGGCGCCACGCACGAGGGGGACGCCCTGAGCGGCGAGGAGATGCTGGCCGCGACGCTCTTCGGCGGCCTCGTCGTCTTCTGGAGCCGCGCGGCGGCGGCCGCGTCCGGCGCCGCGGACCACGTGTCCGTGTCCTTCGTGCACACGGGCTGGGGCCTCGACCCGGCGTCCTGGGCGGGCTACGACACCGTGGCGTCCCTCGACGCGCCGGGCTGGACGGCGGGCGTCCCCTGCGAAATGCGCCTCGCCTGGGACCCGGCCGCCGGCGAGCTCGAGCTCGAGTTCGACGTCGACGGCACGGCCAGCGCGCACGTCCTGCCGCTGGACCCGGCCTGGGGCTTCGGCGGCGTGAGCTTCGGCACCGCGGGCCTCGGCGGCGTCACGACCTTCGCGCCCGTCGCCTACGCCGGGGCCCTACCGCGGCCGACGGCGTCCCCGACGTCGACGTTCGCGCCGACGACCGCGAGCCCGACGACGTCCGTCCCGACGGACGCGCCGACCCTGCGCCCGACGACGCCCGGGCCCACGCCGCGCCCCACGCCCTGGCCGACGCCCGTGCCCGGGAACCCGACGGCGCCGCCGTCGACGGCCGCGCCGTCGCGCGCGCCGACGCCGACGCCGTGCGACGCCGTCCGCGCGGCGGGCCTCCTCGAGCCCGAGCCGGCGCTGGCGTCGGCGACCTTCTCCGCGACGGGCGCGGAGGTCGACGTGGTCTTCGACGCGCCGACGGACCGGGCCGGCGCCGCGACGGGCGCGCCGTTCCCCTGCGGCGACGTCCTCGACTTCGCGGGCGCGGCGGACGCGGCCTGCTACTGGACCGGCGACGCGTCCGTGTGCGCCGACGTCACGGCGGCCCTGGACCTCGTCGCCGGGTCGCCCGTGGCCCTCGTCG